TAAGATCTATTTTCTTTGAAATATTTTAATAGCAGATCGTTAGTATGTAGCAATAGATTTATGATGATAGATTTTAATTAAAGTAAAGAATTTTGAATATCAAATATTGCGAAGAAATTTTTTAGTAAATTTTATTTTCATATTCTTTGTCATTTTATATGCAAGGTCTATTTTTTCAAAGCTTTTGTGGCTAATTCCAAAATTTTGTGCCCAAATTTGAAATTGATTTCGCATAGAAGAATTTAATTTTAGACTATAAGTAATATAGACTTATTTTTCGTAAAATATATCTAAATATAAAGTATTTAAACATTCATGAATCAGAGTTAAAGAAATAAATATAAGTCTAACAAGTTTTATATCGGAAGATTTCCATCAATTCCAGGAGGCCTTGTAAGTAATCCAAGTAATAAGTAGTAATAATGATTACTAACATATCTCAACTCTCAAAAATATTGTTTCTTTATAGATTGAAGTTAAAACAGTTTTTTTAAATTAATTAATGCAACTGCTATCTGAATTCCAAGGTTGAAAATGTTAACACAAGCAGGATTAGATTAAAAATACAACCAGTTCTGCCGGATTATTTTAAGCAAATCATTATAAAGGCTGAAAGTTTTTTTCAATTTTTTTTTTATGTAACTTGTAAGTAAAACAACAACCGTCTGCATAAATATGAGAAATTCTTCAAGTCACCGAGATGGTACTGATCTCTTTCGTTATTCCTGTTTCGTTTCTTTATTCATATGCCAGTTTCCATCACGCATGCGTAATACATAATACAAGACACAGATACAGATAAATGTGAGTGGAATACAGAAACTACACTATAGAATAATATATATAAGCAAACACTTCGAAGGAAACATTTTCCTCTGCAACATAAAAAATATTACAATCCAGTGAAATAAATACTTTCTATTTTTAGGCCCGCTAGCGACTAAGTAATAAAATGGCTTTAAATTAATAATTCAATCCAAGTTCAAATCTCGGTGAACAAGTTGTTTGGATGGGAGCTTTCGTGGTCTTTCTCAAGTTTAGAACCATTACGAGCTAATTTTCTTTAAAACTTATTCTATGAAGGCATCCCTTCCCTCGCTTCTATGAAGCATATTCCTCGCATACTTTGACGTAATCCAAAGAATCCAGTCTAGTCATTTTCTTTATTAAACCTTGAACAAATACAAGTGTGCAGATTCCGTTGCTTAATTAGCTGCATTTCAAGTAAAATCTGAGAATGTAAATGACTTATAAGGTATTTTCTCTCTTCTTTTCGCATGCCTTCGTGGTGTAGCTGGAAGCATGCTCAACACGTATTCAGGAGGTACGGAGTTCGAAGCCCGGCGAGGGCATTGCGGATTTCTTCAGTCTTCTGTCTTCCAAATTTTCTAATGACTCTACGGACATCCCAGCAAAAGTAATATGCTAGATTAATTAATTATTACATTTAAAATATTTCTTAGTTAAAAATGATATCAGCATCAGAAATATTAAAATTCAACAGCTGTCTGTTGTAAAATCTGTACAACTAATGACTTCCTTAAAGAAAAAATGTGTGGTAACAGATTCCTCAAGTTTATAATTCTAACTTCATTATCAGGTGTAGAGGTAGAAATGGAAGTGGTTCCAATCCATCTCCAATTAGCCTCCAAGTAACACCTCTATCCTCTAACCATCTTCAGCACAGCCACCAACGGCTGCTGAGAGCATTCGCATTGAACACTCAAGCACGCGCCTTGGTATATTGATTAGGTTAATTCGTTCTTACTTCTGCTGTAGTACATAAAACTTAGTACTAAAATAATATAGTATTCAGTTCAGTCCTAATCATAGTACTAAATACTGTCCTAATACAAATATGGTTTAATAAATAATGCCATCTTAATGCAATCAATAATATACAAAATACAATACAGTAATAAATACAATCCTAAATCAAATTTCATCTAAGAACAATTGTAACAGCTCAACTTTCAGTTACTAGGAATAACAGCAGTTTAATATTCTTCTATGTTACTTGGCACATGTGCCTTCATGTTCTAGTTTTTTTATGATATTGTTGATTTTGTTTATTAAGGCTGGAGGTTTAACGAAACAGAAGGGAGAACATACGATTTCTTCCAAAACATTTTAGAGAAATTACCAAGTTCTGATCCGTTTCTTACTGAATATGTAAGAGATCCTGCCTCATCCCCACACATTTCTTAAAGAAATATTTCTTTCACTAATATCTGCATACGTTGAAAACAGGAAGGCACAGACCACCACGTCTTTCAGTGTCCAATTACTAAGGAATTTCACCTGAAACATGCTCAAAATATTGACTGCGTATTTGTTACTGGAATAGTATTGAAATTAGTTTTATTATTCAACTCCTTTTTATTAGTCTAAGCAAATGAAAGAGGTTACAACATTGTATTGCAAATAGCAAACGTATTATTTTACTAATTTCATCATTTAATTCAGAAATTTCCTTAATCTTCAACGCAGCCTGTTCTTTAATAATCTTTTCTTATTATTTCAAAATATTTATGATAAACGAGCACTTTTTTAATGAGTAACTGGCACCTATATACCTGCAAGCCCCTTTTAGTGAGTGGCAAAAGAAAGAAACATTGCATTTCTATATAATCTATTAGTTGTCTCAATAAACATATGTATGTTTTAAATTGTGTTAAGTTCATGGTAAATTAAAGCTATGCTTCTTACACTTTCAAATATGATAATTAAAGACTTTTATCGAATTAACATGTTTATTTGTTTCTCTTCCTGAAAGAAAGCGAATTCAAACAATAAGTGAGTAGTCCATTGTTATTCTTAAACATCACTGAGAAACAGATTTAGTTTTTTTACACTGGTTTGAGATCAACAGGCATTTTAATAGGTAGTGATTATATTTCCTTGTCACAGTTTTTACAGAAATTAGCGGCTCAGCAAAAACGGAAAAGAATTTACTCCTTCCTTACCACATGAACATCTGGCTAGCATGGGAACGTCTGTAGTTCGAATTCCGGCGAGGGTATCGATGATTTTTCTTGTTTCCTTCTTCGAAATAAATTTAATGTGTGTGTGTGTGATTATGGCAAAGCCTCGAGGACTATCTGCCTAAGGAGAGGGATGCCTTCGTGGAGGACTTTTATAAAGGAAACTATAAAGTACTATATCTACTCGTATAACACGTTACACACGGGGAAAACCATGACAACGCCCATGCAGCCAGCCCGTTCGCGGGATTCGAACCTCGCACCGAACTACCAGTGTTCAGCGACTTTACCGCTCGGCCGCTGGTGGGCCCCTAAATTTAATGACATCAGTCTTGTTGTTAAAACCGTCCAAAATCTTAACATGGACATTCACTTCGCTTATGTTTGTGGATACTATGAAATGAGAGTTTTAAAACGAGACAGTTGATGTTTTAGCAAGTTATCTACGAAACTTCATACTGATTTAAACCTTATAATTTAATTTCTGATTGGAAACGCTCTCATCGAAATGATATTCTCTGTATTTGGGACACCTTGCCTCAAATCGATAAAAAGGTTTTTCATAGAATTAATGTTAATCATTTTTGAAAAGATTTTAAAGTAATTCAAATTTTGTTTAGATTTAGCGATTTTAAGAGTTGTCTAAAACAAAACTATTGGGACTTGATCTATCGGGACTTGACCAAATGCTTCGTCCAGCTGCAGTAGCAGTGATGAAAGTGTTAATAGTATTCTTTTTTGAGTATGTTCATTTCAGCCAGCATACGAAAATACTCCAGAACACTTTAAAGAACCTGTCTTCCTCTTCACTGTCAAATGTTTCTGATCTTTTACATCTCCTTCTTTTCGAAATTTCATTCCGAATTAAGATTTTCAAATTTTTAAATTATAATTTTACTTAATTATTATTTAATTCCTTCCCATTTCTTTTTTATTCTCTTTGAAATGTTATTGTACTTTGTATTTATTTCTAATGTAAATTAAAACATTGTAGGGTTTATATTTATTTTAACTATCATTTATTTTAAGCTATCTTTCCTGTCAAGGCTTTACTTTCCCCTAGAATTGCCAATGCCAGAGTATGAATTGTAGTAGAACGCGCAGTATATTCAAATTTTATCAGAAGTAAGTTGAGTTTAAATAGAAGGGAAACGAGATTGTATGTGTGCTTCTTGAATCGCGAGCGTGAAGGTTGCTAGGTAGAAATTTAAAAACCGCGTGTTTCGGCCTGTGTGCCTATTTCGGCAGTTCGTTGAATCTTCAACTGCTTAATCAGTAAGCTTGCTGAATCTCAGCTGTATCTCAGAACGCGGTTAAGTTAGTTACGATTTTAGAGCCTCGTAGGTAGTGATCTCGTTATTTATTCAAATCTGTCATTTATTTTTTGTTTCACATTCCTGTTTTGTTAAACCGCCGGGTCGGCGTAGTTTGTGAGCGTCAAGTGAACGCAGCTGTTATTTCTAAAGTGGAATAAAAAGGGATTTAAACCCTTCTTACGAGTTTGTGTAATTTACAGTTCATAGCAGTCACTACCACTTGTTGCTGACAAGTTGGGGCCTCGCAACACTATAACATAATAAACGAATTAAAATCGTTGAAATATATTAGCAAAGTAATCAATCATATTAAATTCCAGTTGAATATGTAGAATTGTGCCCTGTAGTTTAAATCTGAATTTTTAACTTTTTAAATTTCTTTTGAATAAAATTAAAATTTTCTCACTCAGTTATCGAAGTCATTTATAATTAAATGACTTCGATAACTGAGTTGCGAAGTTAAATTGTCTTCTAAGAAATTATATCTGGAAAACACTTATATGTTTTATTGCCTAATTTTATACATTTTTCCTTTATATGTTATCTGAACGTAACATTGTGGAAATTGAAGGTATAGTTTTAAAATATCGTCATTATAAAAAATATTTCTTAAAGTTTAAAAACGACGACTTGTTTTAATAAACTACTGTAAACTGTGAATTAACTGACAGACATATGCAAAGAAGGGAAAGACAATAAATTGTTGCATGTTAAATTTTATTTCATTTTGTTAAAAGAATGCAAAAGTTACAATGATATTTCTGTAAGCCAGAAATAAAAGAAGCAACAGCCAGTTTTCTTACAGCCAGTTTTTGTCAAACTTTTATTAGTGAATTTGTCTTAAATAAGAATTCTGTTAAAAGGACTTGAGAATCCTAATGAGCCAAAGGATCCCGAAGAAATATCTCTGTATCCGGAAGAAATGTCCCTGAATCCGGAAGAAAGATCTCTGAATCCAGAAGAAAAGATGGGCTGTGCAAAATTTCGGACTGGGTATCCATAAAATCCAAGGGAACGTATTGGAAGCGACAAATCATTTCCAAACAACAAATCTCCAGCAAGTGCCATCCCAAACATCATCATCAGAATCTAAGGAAACAAATGTACAACATCTTTATTTTAGTAAGTTATATAAGTTATCTTAAACTGATTATGAACTTAGCAAATTTAATACTTTGTGTTTTACAGTAGTAGGGATTTTGAATTATCAACACGACTTAAACAAATTTCTCTTCAGATGCTCCAATATTTTTCATAAAACATTATGTGTAATTATACATAATCTGAAATGATATATACAGTAGTATAATCATGAACGGATCATTTACTCGAATATCAGAAAATAATGTTCTGTTTCAAAACTAATTTCTAAATTTTTCTATTGCTGTTTAACTTTGTTTATATAAATTACTTTTTTCTGAACGAGACAATATTCTTCCATCTTATTTCCTTTCGTTAAAAATGAAATTTATCGTAAGATTAAAAAAGTTCTATAAAGACTTTTATGTGTCTTTCAACTACTTTTATTTCGTTTTAAATTTCAATGCAACAGATTTAATGAGAATAATCATTTTCGTTCTAAAATTGTTCAGCACGAAATATCCTTCCAAATTATTCTACAAAAAAAAAGGTATTTTCTGAAAAAAAAAATATTTCTGCTGCTTTATTAAATTTCCAAAACTTGTTAATTTTCTTTCTTACTTTTTCTTCTTAAAAATACAATTTCCGTTACATTTTTCGATATTCTTTATATCACATATATAGATACATATAAATAATAATTTAGATGTTAAGGGAAAAGAGACCGGATGTGCATATATAAATATTTATATAGACATTTCTTCCTTGACAATAGCTATTCAAGAATCTCTTCATTTTAGGAACAGCATAGCTTCAAGTTCAAAGTTAAAAATAATGTTTGAGTATGAAAAAAATAAAAATGTTTCAAGGAAGATGCAATCATGGCGCATTTGAAGCAGCTAAAGCGTGGTTAGTGTAAATCATATCCATGGTTCATGGTTCATCATTATATAATGATGAACCATGATGTGCAAGAGCACCCATGGGTGTTCTTTTCTGTCTGAGTTGCATATCTTTATCTGGTGATAAAAAGAGAAAAAATGTGGCCTGCACGCTAATTAGGCGAAAGGCAAGTTTTAGAAAGAGAGATTTCAATTAGTAAAATTTTGTAAGCGCCTATAGGATTCTTAATCTCTTTCACTGGAGGATGCTATGAAACAAGCCAAACACTTATAGCCAGTTATTTATAACCAGATCTAAAACTAAGATTAAATTTTTATCTTCTTTATACATATTTTACTTCCATTAACATATTGAGCAGCAGTTACCTTTAAAAATTTTTCAGTTACTTAACTTTGCAACAAAAGGTGGGTCACGTTTTAAAACTAAGAAGAATTACCGATATTTTAGTAAAAAGTAAAACATTCCCCCCAATAAATGAAATGAGTTTTTCTCAAAATAGTTACATTACAGTAAATTTTAATGAGGACTTTTGTCATTTCGTACAAATTGAGATTAACAAAACCGAAAAGTTCGTAAATACAACTTCATGATTTTGAAAGAAACAAACTAATTACATTGCTTAGTTTTAATCGTAAAGACATAAAAAAATATTTATTTCATTAAAAAAGACTTATTTGTGCTAAAAATGTTTCCGAAGCTCTTTTAATCATATAAATATGTCATATAATACTCACTGTGATTTTGATCATGTTGGACGCCTCCTGTGGTAGCTAATGTACAAAAATATAAAGTTTTACTGCTTTTCAAATCGAAACTGAATTGTGGCAGACCAAGAGGTTCTTTTTATAGAGAACAATGTCGAAATAAATTAGCCGCTGGTATCTTATCTTACTCTTAAACTGGAACTGAAATATGGGTATTTCATAAGAATGCCATAAAAATGTGCATATTTGTTTCTATAATGCATAAATCATTTAGCACTACCTTTTTAACTTTAGATATTTATCTTCTGTTCTACTTCTATCAACAGAAATTATTCGTGTATACAACATTATAATAGAAATATACATAGATATAAATATTAAAGTATTTTAACAGTAGTTTTCTTAACGTAAGATTTATATCTTCCTCCGTTCCGTTTGAACGAAAAATATTAGTCATACATACAACAAAATAGTATGAAGAAAATTTTTAAACAGATCAATAATTATGACAGCTTATTGCTGTCATAATTATTGATCTCATAATTATTGCTTGTCATAATTATTGATTAAAATAGGCTTAATATTAATTATATTTTCCAGCCTATTCTCCTATGTAATTATTGATTAAAGAATAAAATCCATATGTCTGTTTTCTATTGTTATTATTTTTATGTACAGTACTCATCCTTTTAAACAAATATTAACAATTTACTATTACCAATTTAAGTACAATATAAATTTGAATTTGAAATATTGTTCAGAATTAAATGTAGGATTATTCCTCGTGATTCCACACGAATTTGTCGCTTAGAAGCTTTGATTTCATTATACAGGGTGGCCCAAGATAAACCGAAAAAAAAGCGAGGGAACATATGAACTCAATGCGATATCATACAAGTGCGTGAAATGCATGACAATGTACGTCATAGCTCGCTGCGTTAAATTTGAAATGTTATTTTTTGATGCTACGTCGAATACACTAATTTTTTTCAGTTTCTCCTCTGCTATGTCCGGTTTGGTTTATCTTGGTCCACCTTATATCTTGCTTTTCAAGTAGGTATAAAATTAAAGAAAACTCCAAGTTTCATGTTTGGAATTTTTTACTAAACGTCTAATTTTATTCGATTTATTAGTGACTCTAAAATGGTAAATTATTATTTTTATGTGGAAAGTGCAATATATGACAATATATCGCACTTTATATATAAAATCATTTAATATTCATTATATATTGCAGAAAAGCATTGTCATATATATATATATGTAAGATAAAAAATATGAAGGCAAACTTCTAAACTTAATTCACTATAACTTCCATTATTTTCTATTCATTTGAGAAACTTCCTCTATCTGTCCTAAAAATAGCGCTTAAGTCTAAACTGCGTCATTCAAATTAATCATGCGATCTTACTTAACCCATAATGCAGATCCCTCTCGACCAATCACCAAATTGTAAACCGAAACTTTTCTCTTCGCGTGTTTCCATCTTGCATAGCGACGCACTTCAGCTTTTGCTCGCTACTGTGCTAAGATGTGATTTCGCTGGCTTGCTTTCTATCCCAACAATATCGAAAATGTAAATCTTCTGTGGAAGGCACGACTAGAGTGCCAAGTGATTGTGGCCACAAATATCAATTGGAAATAAAAATGGAATTAAAACTGCCTCGACTGCCAAGTTCTTTAGATGTTACCAAGTTAGCATTACTAGCATACTACGCAATCAAAATTCTTCTTCAATATGGATCTAAGCACGCATCTACACTGCTCCGTCGTTTTCCTTTGCTTTTATTATGACAATTAAGCCGGTAAGGATAGTTTCCTGCAGCCTGAAACCTCAATAAAAAATTTAATTCAGCTCTTCAAATCATCGTTTTGTGATAAATCCAAGATAATGTGAAAGAGGTGAATCATCAAATTAGTTTTTTCAGTGTTTAAAAATAACAGATCATTCTTCTGCTGTGGTGTTTTGTAAGTGCTTTAAAAGAATAATCACGCGTAGTGTTTACAGATTGAAAGTAATCTCTCGATAAATTGAGAAGTTCGAATGCCTAGTGAAAAGGAAATCATCAGTGAATTAACGTTTAGGAATTCAGCATTACAGCGGGTTCAAGGTCGATCTGAGTTAGTGTTTGCGACAGAAAATTATTGCACTTCTGCTTTTTCAACAGCTCAAAATTATTACATTCGTGTGAACTTAGCTCAGGAACTAAATTATTTAATGTGCTGCGAATTCTATAGTTTTCATTTCAACATTGGTTAAAATTTCTGCAATTTGTTTTGAGAAAATCTGAAATTCTTGTTCATTAATTTTTCATAATTATGTGTGAGCAAATTAAGCAACGAATTTTAAGCTATTTAAATTATTCATAGGGAAGGATATTAAGATAAGTTAAGTTTTTATGTTTTTGAAATTTTGTTGAGAATTTTGAATACAAATTTTATAATTATTCTAAAAATGAAGTAGGTGTAAAAAATAAGTAAATTATTACAGATATGTAATATGAAGTTATGGTAAGTGCATGTTACAATTATGGGTTATTGTGTGGTAAGTATAGTATGATGAGGGTGTACTGGTTCCTTCAACAGGGCGTGTAATTACCTCTGTACAGTTGTTCCTTTTTCCTCTTCATGCAAGATAATGTTGGAGGCTCTCATTTTATGAATGCATGTAAATTTTTTATATTATTATTATTATTATACTTTTTTATTATGGAATGTATTAATGCAGTTCTCAAAGGCCAGTTACAATGCAAGGAACGGAGGTCTTTTCAAGTAACTGCCTAGGCACCCTGGGCCACCAGTGCAGAGAACACACTGGTTAGCTCAAGAGGACAGCCCTATTGATGGATATGTTTGTTTAGAAGTATTGCGAGGCTTCCAGTTTGGTAAAATCAGGAATTGTAAATGAAAGATAACGGTGAAACCATAAATTCTGAAAATCTTAATCCTATTATTTATCATGTTAAATTATAATTTATCAGTATAGAAATAAGTATCATAAATTTATGTGCATTACATTAAATTATAAGTAATGATTATGTAAAGTTTATTTTGTGATATTCTGCGATAACAAGAACCTCCCTGAAGAATTATGATTATGTGAACTCTCAAACAAAGACTTTTGGACTGAAATGTTGAAAAAATTCAATAGGACTCTAAAAATTAAGAATCTATTTTTAAAAAAAATTATATTTATAAATAATACTTTACAGGATCAAAATTTTATTATTTATTTATATTTTTTTTAATTTGCTTGTGCTTTAACTCTTTTTCTTTAAAAAGGCTTCTCTGTCGCTACGCCTTTTTCTTTTTGAAGGGGGAATATGTAAGATAAAAAATATGAAGGCAAACTTCTAAACTTAATTCACTATAACTTCCATTATTTTCTATTTCATTTGAGAACTTCCTCTATCTGTCCTAAAAATAGCGCTTAAGTCTAAACTGCGTCATTCAAATTAATCATGCGATCTTACTTAACCCATAATGCAGATCCCTCTCGACCAATCACCAAATTGTAAACCGAAACTTTTCTCTTCGCGTGTTTCCATCTTGCATAGCGACGCACTTCAGCTTCTGCTTTGCTACGTTGCTAAGGATGTGAATTTCGCTACGCTGCTTTCCTATTGCAACAATATCGAATATTGTAAATCTTCTGTGGAAGGCACGACTAGAGGTGCCAAGTGATCTGTGGCCACATAATGTCAATTGGAAATAAAATGGAATTAAAACTGCCTCGACTGCCAAGTTCTTTAGATGTTACCAAGTTAGCATTACTAGCATACTACGCAATCAAAATTCTTCTTCAATATGGATCTAAGCACGCATCTACACTGCTCCGTCGTTTCCTGTGCTTTTAATATGACATATATATATATACGAGGGCTATCCAGAAAGTAGATTACGTTTTGGAGTAAAAAAATAAAAAGTATAGGAAACAAATTTTTATTATATACAGATGAAAGCCACACTCAATACTACTTTTCTACATAGTCACCATACAAATTAAGGCATTTATCGTAGCGATGTACGAGCTTGGAAATTCCTTCGTCGAAAATTCGGCCGCCTGGCGCCTTCAACCACTTCGTTACCTCTTCTTGCCTTCCATCTTGCACAAAACTTGTGGTAACCAAGCTTTTCGCTGATGATTTGTGCAACAAACTTCGCCGAAATTTGTGGAAAACTCAAAGAAAGAAAGTTCCGTTATTGTGAAATTTCGATTTTCACGGACTTAGCATCGACTTTTTCGAGAAGTTCGGCGGTCACTATGCTGGGTCTCCCACTTCGATCTTCGTCGTGACATTGGTTCGGCCCATTTTGAAATCTTATGACCCACTGACGCACTCCACCTTCAGTGATAATATTGTCCCCATACACTTCACGAAGTTGCCGATAGATTTCTATCGGTTTACAGTTTTTTGCAGTCAGAAACCTTATTACTGAGCGCACCTCGCAGCTCGCGGGATTTTCAATTAACGCAGACATTTCAAACCGTCACAGTATCTGAACGGAGCACAGCACGAACCTCTCACTAGCACGGCTAGATGCAGACTGAGCTGCGCAACGCTCTGACCCCAAGATGGCCGCGCTAGCCCCGCCCCTAGCGGACACAGACGGAAACGTAATCTACTTCCTGGATGGCCCTCGTATATGACAATTTCTGTAAAACATAAAGGTAGGATATTTCCTCGTGATTCCATACGAATTTGTCGCTTAGAAGCTTTGATTTCATTATACAGGGTGGCCCAAGATAAACCGAAACCAAAAATTTAAAAACAAAAATCTTCAAAACTTCCATTGTTTCATAGTGTACGAAAGAAACATTAAATATACATTACTAACATTAAAACTGCAGCATCTTGCATTAAGCAATTGTTCAATGTGAAATCTGAAGAACATAAAATAGAACACGAAAGCGAGTAGCAATGCAGCGCTTATGTAAGTATTTATTTTTTCTAACACCATTTAAAATAAGTGTGAAAGAAATGAATATAATACAGGTTTTGGGAACTCTGTTTCCTCCTTGTTTGATTAGAAGTGCAGAATATCTCCTGAAGAAGAAGACCGCACAGCAGCAGTATGTGGCCTAATTGTTAAGTTTAGGATTGTGTATCCATAGATCGCCAATAGATGGCGGTAGTGTTTGTTTGTAAAAAGAAA